TGCCAAAGAGAAGCTGGAGTCCAGAAAATTCACCACCTCCGAAAAAACTAAAGATTTCAAAGAATGTAAGTTGACTTTATGATTAAAATAAAATTAAACCTAAATATTTTATTATTATATTTTATTTGATTATGATTCAGCGAACGTACGTATAATTTATGTGTAAATATTGATGAAATTTCATTAATGAATACTGAGTTCATGTTCATTTATGTACCGTCATTCAGAAATATGATTTAAAATGATAACCTCCATGTTAAATGTATATCTATAAAGTACTCAAATTAGATGCTTTTAAATTAATTCAAATTGTTTTAAATCGATTCAAATTAGATTTCTTAATCAGGGTATTTAAGTGATAGTAAAAAAATAATGCTATTTTTAATAAATACTACCATTTATTTTTAAATAAATAAATTTTTTATATGAAAAACATAGGAAATAATGTTTACTGCCGAAAAATAATTTATGATTCAGCGCTAGGAGCTTCTCATAAATCAACGCATTTGGCAAGAAGGTTGTTAGAAGGAGTTTTTAACCACGACGCCATGATGGGATGCACATTGACAGGGCAGGCTCCAAGGACTAAAGATAAAAAATCAGCTGTTGTAAATCCATTAGATCAACAGGCGAAAGGCGCGATCGTTGGTGAGTTTTTTTTCTTAATTACTAATCCTAATAGGTAACATTGTGTCAAATTGACTCTAACGTTTTTTTTTAAATCTCTGGTTTAAGAACTTCATTTGAAAGCCTCATTTAAAGCCGTAATCTATCAATAATTTGACTGCTCAATTTTACTTGCATGCCAGAGAATAATTTTACAATAATTAGCATTTAATTGTTTAATTTGGAGCGTAATTCTTTGGGTTTGGAATCAAATTGACCCCATGTGACCGTAAATATGGATTATTATCGAGGTGTGATGTGACTCATTATGAACGAACTTTGCAGAGTTTGCGATGCATACAGCCATTGAGAGGAAGTGGCCGATTCAAAGTCGACAAATTATTTTAAAGGAAATGAGCCAAAGATCACTGAATATAAACGCGACAACATGAAGAAGGAAAAAACTGAAACGAGTCCAAAAAGCTAAAAAATTCAATACAGTTTCACATTATACTTTTAATAATTTTAAGTTAATATTAACGTTAAGAAAGTCAACCAAAGAGTTACTTCCATATATCTAATAAAAAAATAAAAGGTGATAATTACCAATTAATCATATCCATAAATACTATAATATTTTGTTTCGGATTTTATAAATATTTTTCAGAAAATATTTAATATTCTACGGTTTGTTAAAACTTATAATATAATTATCGGATAATAAAATTTCATTACTTGAACCATATATTATGATTTTATTTCAAACCTGGAAAGGATAATTAGATTAATTAGTTCTGCATGATCTAATCATACAGATCTAATAATTTTTTCAGGCACTTTGATCAACAGAGATTTTTTCAGGAATGAGTCTCAGGCTTAAAATTAACAAAGCTACTCGACGGTGAATCAGATCTGATCAGGCATGAGTCATCAGCCCTGATCAGGCATGAACAGGCATGAGTCGTCAGGCCTGATCAGACCTGAAAAATGACCGGGCCTGATCAGACCTGATCCGGCCGGATCAGGTCTGATCAGGCCTGACGACTCATGCCTGATCCGGCCGGATCAGGTCTGATCAGGCCCGGTCATTTTTCAGGTCTGATCAGGCCTGACGACTCATGCCTGTTCATGCCTGATCAGGGCTGATCATTTTTTCCCGGGGTATTTTAATGAAAATCTTCTTTTCTTCAATTAAAATTGGATCTTTTTGTTAAACAAAAGGATCTGCTATTGTGATATTATTTTGAAATTGGTATTTAGTAGGCATATTTTTAAATGAATGGGCACTGACAGCTTAGTACATTTTTTTTACAAAAATCGGTGTTGAATTAGCATGATATGTTAAAAATTATGGTTAAAAGTAGAGTAAAACTAATTTTTTTCTTCAAAAGCTTTAAATTTACATTAAAAACATGTTATTTAACGATAGCTCTAGTATTAATAATAATAAATTTCTTTATTGGCACAATATACAAGTAATCAAAAAATCTTAATTCTAGTGTTCTGCTGGTACTTAAAATAGGATATCCTGTGCTATAAGTACTAGCTACTAATTCAGCAGTAATTACCAGTAATCAAAATGAAAAAATAATGGTATTTGTTAAAACTACAACCAAATTTGTAACAAGAGGTACACATATCGTAAAAAAAATAAAAAAAATATATTCCCGGAACCTTTGGGTAAAAATGGATAAAATTGTAATATGTTATAGTAAATTATCTGGTTTATCGAATCCTTAATGGTGGACCACTATTTACGCCACACCTGTATATATGTGGCTCGTTACAATAAACCTATATGTGTCTGGGTGTAATTACCTATTATATGTATGTATTTAGAAATATATAAGTATGTTTATCAGCAGTCTGGTTACCATAGTACAGGCTCTGCCTAGTTTAGGATCAGACGGCCGTGTGTGAAATGTCTGGAGTTAAACCGCATATACCTTTCTACCGGTACCGGTCTTTCTGTTGGAGTACCCCATACTAAAAAGTCTCTGATTCTTAATTTTTTTTTTAAATTAAAATATGTGTTTTTATACATAATTAGGCACTTGGGATAAAAATTAGGCTTATTTCACTAGTTTTAGTATGAACACTTTGCTAGTTTTTATATGATGTTCTAAGCCAGGAATTCCCAAAGCTGTCGATATCGACCTCTTGGGGTCGAAGTAAACGAAAACTAATTTTGGGGGTTGACAAGGTCTAAAAATCGACATCTATTAATTAACACAAGTTATTATTTGAATTAATTTTAAACGTTCAAGCTACTGTATTAGGTGTGTCACGTATACCAATTTGTAATACGAATGACTAATACTTTAGTAGCAAGTATTAGAGTCGTACTTTTAAAAAACTCAACAAATCGATAAGCGTGCAGTAATTTTGCTATGGAGGTCTTAGGTATCAGGTCATTTCAGAAAAGGGGTCTCTTGCTCAGAATAGTTTGGGAATCCCTGTGCTAAGCTAGTTTTCCTTGGACCGTGGACCTTGTACAGAAGCCATACCGTAATTTTGAGGAAAGCGAAAGAACAGTGCATCCCTGGATCTTTCGTTTATTTAGGATCACTCCATAGGCTTTTTTTTATCCTGCCTCAAAGTTTGCATCAAGTAACGGTCCTCCAAATATTCGAAAAAGAGCACAGCCTAATTTTGTTACAAATGTACGCCAAAACTTAATGTTTTGCTTATTATTTACTTAAGCGAAGGAGTAGTGCTTCCAGGATCTTCCGCTTTCTTATAGGATTACTACAAAGGATTTTTTTTATATCCCGCCTCAAAGTTTGCATCAAGTAGCGGTCTTCCAAATCTGTTTTATTTGTTATTGACTTTTGAACACTTGATATAGGTATATTTATAAATGTTGACTGCATACACTAACCTATATAATAAACACATCCGCCAAAGTTTTGGTTTTTTATTTACGAATTTGTCTACACTGGGGTGTACACGTAACCCACAGCACTTGTATAGGCGAATACGTGGCTTTTGTGGCAGCGCTTACGAATGGCGAGCAGTCAACACCAAACTAAAATACTCCGACGCGCTAATTTGTGGGTAATAAACTAACTAACTACCTAACAAATATGGATGACATAGAAGACAAGAATGCTTGGTATTAATTTAGCACAGGCTATTTCGTAATGGAAATATGATGTGGCTAGTGTGTCTTATTTTGTCTATTTTTATGTTTTACTCCTTCCTTTTTGATCCATCTTTTTTCTAAATCTTGTTTTGTCTGTATTGCCTTTTTACCTTTTAGTCCTTAAAACTTACATACTGGTACACGCTTCGAGAAATGCCGGCAGTCCATCGCTAGGAGGGAATTGAGTCTCGCCTGTCACCACAGCAATTGCAGTGAGGACTCGGCTCAGCACACGCTGGTAATTTGCCTGGCTTGAGCGTCGTAGCGTCGAGTTTTCGAGCCGAGTTTAATTGCAGTCATCGGAGTGCATTTCTTGCTACCGGCCGTCATACGCTCCATGGCCGGTAGTGACAGATGTTTCATCACGGTCGCATCCTTATACGAAGGAGTCGTCTCGCAGAAGGATCCTCCTTCTGAGAGAGGGCTCTGAAGGACAACCTCCACTCAGACCCACATCGTCGCCGGCGGACCGGGCGGCAGGGGCGCGCTTCCCAGCGCCTCATGCCGCCCTGAGTATACGAATAAATAGAGAAGTTACCCGAAAATGGTGCCACTGAGAGCAAGTAGTTCCCGGATCTTGTGGCACACCTGGTGGTTTAAGTCAGTTAGATTCCGACACTCTATTCCGCCACAAGCCCGGGTGGGGACACGGCTCGAGGAGGTTTCCACACTCAAAAAAAGGGGTATATTTAGGGTAAAACCCACCGAAAGATTTAAACTCGGACATTTACTCAACAATTGACAACCAGGGTTGTATTCCGTACAAGGTTCCTAGTAGAAATAAGCGATTTATGTTCTGCATACATATACGAGGATACGATCAGGCTCGTCCTCTTAAGGCTCGTAGTTTATATTTATATTTTTATAGTGGACATTATTTTATGGCGTTAATAGGTTTTACTGGTTTTCGCACTTTGGTTAGAACTGATTCAAAATCTATCAACAAAATTAGGAAGATTGTAGTAGTCTGATGTGTCGGTCACCTAACGTTCTCATTTATTAATCTCAATCAATAGTTTAATATGATAAGGGTAAATTCATATACTAACCAAATAAAATAGACTTGACGATTTTTTAAACGTTTTAGCTCTTTTTAAAATTCTAAGGCTAGCAACCCCGCTCATTACTTTCTTTCATATTGAGGAGTTTGTTAACGTAGCGCGCGCATCTTACTTATAGATTTTCAAGTCGAGGATTGTCTATTTTGTTTCAATAATATTTTAAATCTTGGAATTAAGTTATTTATAAGATGGTGGATCAAATTGAAATGGCTTTGGATGATATTATAAAAGCAAACAAGAAAACTCCAAGAGGAGGCGGTGCTGGGCGAAAATTTAATACAAATAGAAGAGCTGGAGGAGCCCGTGGTGGTGGTGGTGGATTTAGAAATGGTCGTACAGGTGGCGTAATACGTGGAAGAAATCGTGGCGGTATAACTAAGTCAACAAATTACACAAGGGTAAATAATTACTTCGATGATTATAAAAATTGCATATGGCGGACAAACGTGGTGAAATGACGCATCAGACAAAATAGTATGTTCGACGTAGCTGAGGATCTCTTTAGATCTTATTGATGGGGACTAATTTACGCTATTCCTACATAATGTAGATACCTCTTTGACTATAATGTACGCGGCAGCGACAATTTTTACTTTCATTGTAATTTTGCACTCATTGTCATCTATATTTGGCTTTGGCCGTAAGCATTATAATATTGTATGCTTTTACTGATTCTTGAGACTATTACGAGGTCTAGTCTTGAATAGATTCTATATGATTAAATTTCGGCCCTGCTGTTTTGGTGTGGCTGTTTGGCATTTGTAACTAAGATGGGACACAAAATACTTCGGAGATAAATTTTAATACGAGGCCGCGCGAGACGAGGACCATACTATTTGCTGATTGCAATGGAAATACAGACGACTGAAAGGGGAATGTCATCGTGTTGTCTTCGCAAGGAGCATTGGGCTCTTTAGCTTCAGGCAGCAGCGAAAAGAAAATGTCTGCATGTGATGTTTCTACCGCTACTTTACCTAAGTCCAAGATGCCAGTATTTAAAGTAGCGAGTGTGTGTATCAGTGAAAAGTATAAACTTCAATTTTAGGGTTTGGAGAAAAAGGAATCTGTATTTCTACTGTGAAGTTCAAATCATATTGTTATTTAAAAATCAATCATATGTTTATATTTTTATACTATTTCACTATTGTAATACTTTGTTGTAATTTGCTGTTAGTGTAGCAGAGTCTATAAATATGACTTGATTGCTGCACTGTTACACTTGGGTGTAATCATGTTCACAAAGGCATGGAGCAGCCTTTAGGCAAGCTCCTTGAAGAACCACCTATTTCAGGGCGATGTTAACAGCACTTGGAAACATGACATGTTCAATGATTTTGCTGAAAGGAAGATTCAGAGAAGTGGTGGTGCTCTAACAACTGGGCCTACCAAACTTCTAGTGTCCAATCTGGACTTTGGAGTTTCAGACTCCGATATACAGGAGCTGTTTTCAGAATTTGGTGTTCTGAAAAGTGCAGCTGTACACTATGATAGATCGGGGAGATCTTTAGGTAAGCCTTATTGATAATAATTTCTGTATATTGTAAACTGTAAATTGCTTAGGATTTTGCACTCATTTTTTAATTAAATTTAATGGTAACATCTATTCTTCATTTATTGAAACTAATTTTTATATGAAGCAAGCAAATGTAAAAAACTTAATGGCAAATTTTAATTTTAGGTACTGCTGATGTTGTTTTTGAAAGGAGAGCTGATGCATTGAAGGCTATGAAACAATATAATGGTGTACCACTTGATGGTAGAGCAATGAACATACAATTGGCCACATCTGAAATCAACACATTCAGGAATGAAGACAGAGGACGTCTTGCTGGTGGAGGTGGTGGCGGTGGCAGCAGTGGCAGTGGACCTGCTAGGAGAAGTGCAAATAGAGGTCTTTACATCACATAGATATTCATTTCTTATTTGTTTCTGTTAAAAACATCAAACTAACAATAACCGTGTTTTTAAACAGGAGGTGGAAGAAATCAAGCAGGAGGTACCCGTGGACGCGACAATCCTCGTCGTGGTGCAGGCAGAGGTGCAGGGCGCGGCAAACGACCTGTACCGACTGCAGAACAATTAGATGCGGAACTAGATGCCTATGTAAAAGAAATAAAGTGAAAAAGGAGAAACATAGTGCAATAGACACTACTTCTAAAAGTGTAGAAAATAATTAAAAGGACGCTACATATTTGACATAAACCTATGTTTAATACTGTTAAACATTGGTTTTAAAGAACCATTGAACAACTTCACTTAATTGTGGTTTTTGATGCATGTTACATGAAATAATAAACTAAGTATTTGGTACTGATAAACCATTAATAGAAGCTTTACTTATTTCCCTTGACCATATGGTGCTCATTATGATACAATGTGAAATATAATTGTAATTTGTAAATTATACATTTAGAGGACACACTGGGGTTGACCAACAATAGATAAAAACAAAAATTGTGTATGTAAGCTTAGTGCAGCAGACCTTCTTTTGCAATGTTTAATGTATGGTACTTGCTTGTCCCGTGTGACATTTATTGTGTTAAATTATAAAACATGTCATGCACGCAAAATAAATCTATTAAAATTGTGAGATTAGGTATATTTGATGCCTGCTCTAATTAGAGCTACTCCACTCCGCAGTGCGTCCTTTAAGGGTTTGAATGAAACAGATATTAGAGCTCGTATGTTTTATAAATGAGAATAACGAATATAAGATTTGCTTAAAACAATGTTACTGCAGTAAAATAAATCACAAAGGGTTAATTCTAGATTCATGCCTTATGGTATCCATGCTAATAAAGTTTATCCTGTGTTGTGAGGGACTATAAACATACATGAAACGGGCACAAAGAACACCCATACTCGGAACAACAGTGGATCACACAGTGTTGTCCCATGTTGGGGATCTAACCCACAAAAAACAGCACAGTAGGAAGCAGCGAGGAGACCGCTTAAACCACTACGCTATCCAAAATGGTACACTAGTTAATGGGTTAATGGTATTACTGACACGAGGTAATAAGTAGGTATAGGCACACCAAACAACTTTTGTAATCAGTGTGGTTGGCGTTTAGTCGTTTTGTTTTGAGTAGATTAACATAACAGAAGTTGCCAAAAGGTTTTTGTAAACACAGTGTACATATATAGGTAGCTTATTTAATGAAATAATCGGGAAAAGTTCAACAGTGCACATACGGTTTTTTTTTTTAAAGAATTCCCGCCCTAGGAATATATCCTGTGTCGCGGGAGACTTAACAAACATATGAAACGGTCACAAAGAACACCCAGACTCGGGGACAACTATTTCTGGATCACACAAAGTATGTATTGTCCCATGTGGGGAACGAACCCACAACACTCAAAGCGATTCAATAGGAAGCGACGAGGTGACCACTTCCATGAATGTTACAGATTTGTATGAAAATTAAACCATTTTGGTTATTTATTTTTTACCTAATCCAAAGCACCAGCAAATTATCTATAATTGTAGAAGTGTGTTCGACAGGAGGCCATGAAGTCAACGAGATTTTTTTCTACAAAAAAATCTTGTAAAAAAATAAGAAATTTGCTAAGGCAATTTCCGATGAGTAGGTACGGTGTGCGTTTCGATTGGTCCGCCACGTTGTCGAAACCATTGATATAATACTTACATAGATGAGTAATTACCGCCTAAAATCGTTGCTACTGCACATATGTCCACAGGCATATGCGTAGCAAACGTCAATTCATTATTCAATGTGGCGTCAACCGAGTTGAACATAGCGACACATGACAGTAACAATCGCCAAAATGGCTAAATGCGTAGTGAAAGAATGCGATTCAAGGTCACAAAACATTAATAAATCATGCGGAATTACTTTTCACGTGTAAGTTTATGGTTTTTGTATTGAGAATATCGTAAATAAGGCTATAATTGAAATAAAACACTGATAATTGTAATTTAGAATCAGTGTTACCATTAAAAAATCATTTTGGTTTTCCCACATTAGTGGGAGAATTTATAATTTATGAAATAATATGCTTTATACTGTTTTTAAACATTTTGCCAATAATAATAAAATATAGGAAGAACGGTAGTTGTTAGGGCTGGACCGATCCCTTTTTTTAGGGACCCGTTGAACGTTCACTGCGAGCTTGGCAGAAGTGCCAAGCTCGCAGTAATTTATTATCAATTTTAAATAATAATTGAACAAAATAATAACAATAATAATAAATGTTTATCATAAAAATAAAAATATAATATAAAAAAGTAAATAAACAAATAATTTTTTTTATAAAATAAAAATAAAAAAAAAATGTTTTTTAAATTATAATAGAATTTGCAATACACCATGGGGATTATTTATTTTCAGTACAAGTTGATCATTCACTTTTATTATTAAATGCTATTATTTTTACATACGTAAAAATAAGATTGTATCATGAAAGTAAAATATCCACACAAACTTATAAAAAAGAGTCTAAAAGACAATTGTATACAAAACTGATGCTTCACAGCGCAGTTTGATTTTACACTGAATATAAACCCTTTTAACCAAATATTTCCAGTTATTTTATTATTTATACCTATTCTATTCAATTCGAAATATATTATTTAGAATATTTAAATTAATTTATTTTATTACAAAGTTGTTTTTAAAAAAAATTGTTTCTTAGTTGTTATGGGTAAAATTTCATACGGTAGTCAACACTGGCCCACCATCGTAAAGTTATATCTTTGTCTTTGTCTAATCCGAGCGATGGTATTGTTCTTGTCTCGCGTGTAAATGAGACATAAATATGTTTACTTTCAAATGTTTAGTGGTATCAAAGCTACGTCGTCAAAGTTCAAAAGTGGTTACACTTTTTTCGACGTGTGATAATGAGGTTTGCTTCTCTAGTGTTGTTTTAACTCAATGGTCGAAACAGAAAAATAATAATGTCAAAATTGAAGGGAAAAAAGCAAAAATTTGACAAAGAATTATTATAAGGGTTAAGTTATAAGGGTTTTAAGTTGGCCCCGAGAACGAAACGTGTAGATTTGCGCGGCCTCGGAGATATCAGCAACTACTTAAATTAGAGATCTAATTCTTTGTGTTAATTGAAGACTAAGTTTGTCGAAAAAAGAATTATAAGCTATAGATCAATATTCTACTATTCACCTTGGAAGTTATGGCCGCTCAATCGTATACTGTACGTTTATTTACTGTTAATTATTTCTATAAAACTTAAGATCGTAGACGAGTAAAATGACTCCGCTTCAACCCAACCAAAGTAGACGTACTGCTTGTACACATTTGCAGCTCACTTACTTTTTTTTTTTTTGTTGTGTGATGTATGGTTGTTGGCCTCGGATGGCCTCGACAACCTTGCCCGGGCTTTTCGGTGAGCGCAGAGGGCTCTCCACCGGTCTTAATTAAGTAACATCGCCCAAGGGCACCCCCTGTGGGGTACGAACCTCGGCTTGGGGCGTTACTGGCAAACTAGGGCGACCAAGACCCACATTTAGGAGTTAACGCGGCGCGCATTCCGGCCCCGGCGGCGAGGACGGAATCGCGGACGATTCTTGGTAGCTGCGCGAGCTGTGTACACTCGCTGCTGAGCCAGGGTGATAGTGTCGTCTGGCTCAACTAGAGCGTGTTTCGGTCTGCGTGTGCGTGAAATCTTGCTGGGTGTGTAGTTAACAGCCGCAACCACTAGAGGAGCAGAGTCAAAGTAGCTAAGGGAGCACTGTTTTATGAATTGCCTGATGGTCGGCAGCTCAAGGTCGATATGAAGGTCGACATTACGCACATACCACGGTGCTCCCGTAGCCCGGCGCATGAAATTATTTTGTAGTGTTTGTAGCCTATGGATCCTGTGTTGCCTAGCGTGTGCGAATACTACACTACCGTATGTCATGATAGGTCTAATACATGACGTGTATAATCTGACTTTGTTTTTGAGTGATAATTTGGACTTTGAGTTGACTAAACTATGGAGTCAACCCAACACGAAGGCGGCCCTGTTACGAACCGCCTTAATGTGGGGCCCGAAGGTTAGTCGATCGTCAAGGATTATACCTAGATATTTGGCCTGTCTAGCCCAGGGGATAGGCGTACCAAACATCCTTATCTGTGGGGTCTTCTCCAAGGGATACAAGCGGAGCTGTCTCCTATGAAACAGAACCGCCTGGCTCTTCTCGGGGTTGACCTCTATTCTCCATTTCCGAAACCACGCGCCTAGGGCGTTGGCAGCGGTCTGGAGTTTCCTGGCTACTGATGAAGGGTCTATTCCTGAACAATAGATAGCTGTGTCGTCTGCGAAAAGTGCTGTCTGCACAAGCCGATGCTTCGGGATGTCGCTGGTGAACAGCGTGAATAGGATAGGGGAGAGCACGGACCCTTGCGGGACGCCAGCTCGGATGGGGTGGGGCAGCTCACTTACCGCGCGCTAACCTCAAATCACCGCCGAGCATTAGATTTGACAATGTTACTGTAAAAAATAAAACCGCAGTGTGTTATCTAGGGTTAGTTTTAGAAAGAAACTTTTCATTTATCGAACATATTAAAATAGTTAATGAAAAGTCTAAAAAGAGTTTCTGTGCATTGACAAGGATATCAACTGCGACATGGGGTCTATCATTTAATACATTAAAGATCATATACGGAGCTACTTATTTAGGTTCTATGTGCTATGGTGCACCTGTATGGGCCGATAGGGCGACCGTAGGCGCTGTCCGTCGCAAACTGTTACAAGGCCAACGACTTGCACTGATATTTTTGTGCAAGGCATATAGGACGGTTAGCACTGAGGCTTTGCCGGTGTTGGCAGGTGTCCTTCCGGTCGATCTCGAGGTGCAGAGACGTGCAGCCATGTACTATTCAAGACAAAACATGGAATGCGATTTCTTGGGCGCGCGGGATCGCGGTAAAATTACAAGATTGCTTCAACAGCAGTCCGATGTCTATAATGACCTCATAGACGAATGGCAGCAACGCTGGGACGAATCATCCAAGGGGCGCCATCTTTACCAATTTTTTCCATCTGTTCGCGAACGGTTGTCAAGGACATGGCTTGAGGTAGATCACTGTGTCGCTCAATTTCTTACGGGTCATGGTAACTTTAAGAGCAAGTTGTATTCATTTAAATTAGTCGAGTCA